ACCCCAAACCTCCCCTGGCACAACTTGAGGCCGTTTCCCCTCGTCCCATCGCCCCTTCCCTGGGAGCCCGACTCCCACCTCCCTGCACCCTCTTTTCAGGCAGTTGTAGGGATCAATAAGGTCTCCCCTCAGCCTCCTTTTTTTCCAGGCTAAACAACCCCAGCTCCTTTTTTTTATTTCCTCTTAACAGAAAGTAAAGTATTTTCCCTACTATGCTATCTTCTAAGAATTTCAAAATGCCCCTCCAGCCCAAACACCTCTATGGGAGGGGCAGGCAGGGCCTTGCATCTTGTGGAAGAGGAAACACAAACCTCAGCAACAGCTTGTCCATGTCACCCCGGTGGTTGGGGACAAAGCAAAGACACCAGCAGAGAGCCCCAGCGACGCGGAGCCCGCGTGCCCCACAGAGGCGTCCGTCACACCGCAGCCCTGCGCCGATGGGAAACGCCGCCCTGGAAAAGCCTCTCGGCCAGCCCGGCCACTGTGAACTCAAACCTCGGAGCTCCCCATTCAAGTAATAGTTGTGAATGCCAAAATTTTAGGTGGATTAGCAAAAATGATCGCACAAACGTATGTGTAACCTGCACAGCTGCTGTTACGCATTTTGCAGAGCCATCTGGATTCCCAGTTAAATGACCAATTGTGCTGTGATGAACTTCCCAGCTCCACTTTGCTCCGGGCAGCACATAAATCCTGCCGCTGGGGACGGCACGCGCCATTCGAACCTAACAGCTCACAGCCAGGACTTAAATTAATTGCCTTACTCTACTGTTTTCAGACCTACTTAATTCCATGTATTCAAGATGCTCCAGTACCTCCTGCACCTGCGGGTGCGTCCAACCCAAACGGGTGGCATTTTGTACAAAATCTCCCTTTGCAAATTCTCTTTCCCATTTCTGAGAACCTGAAGAAGTTGCGCTCTAATGAGCTGATAATCCTTAACACACACACACCCCCAACAGTTTGTCTTGCTTTTCCATCACTCAATGACTAGCTCTGCGCCGTCATGCAAGAGAACCAGCTCCACCATTGGCGGCCTCGTGAGCGATTTTCTTTTTGAAAGGCTTGCCATGAAAATTCACATGCGGTACTGGAGCAACAGAATCACAATTTAAAGCTAATAGGACAATTATTACTAATTTGCCTAAATTTCTTGCCTAGTCTCCGCTGCAGAACTTCACCCCCAAGGCTCTCAAGGCTCCTGATGCTTCTGGATGAGCCACAATTTATCTTTGGTGAAAACGGTCAACTCGATTAAGAAGTCTCACCGATAAATCCCAATGGTTAATTTCACAGATAAAATAATAAAAAATAAATCCTTTCTAGTCCTTTGTCTCTCTCTATGTTCAAGCCAAAGGTGAATGCAGTCCCGTGTGAAAGGAAACTTGCTGGCCTGAGGTTCAGCACATGCCTGCCCCTCTCCAGAAGGCCACAAGAAGAAACGCCTCGTCCTTCCTTTGGAGCACTGCAGTGAGGAAAAAGTTAAACTTCATGGTAACATCTTGATGTGCAGCTTCCCTAATTCTAGTTTAGGATTTGCCTTACCAGGATATTCCTAACAGCAGAGGGAAGCAAAGTGATGGGCAGCAAGTTCAGAATCTTCCAGGACCAAAACTGGAGCTTTGCCGCTCCAGCAATCGGCACAAGGGAGCACCTGCACGCCTACCGTGAGGATGAAGAGTCCCAAGCGCTGGCTGACTCACGACGTACTCACTCGACAGCACAGGGCACTGTTTAGCAATTCTAACTCCATTTTTATACGTCAGCCCTCAAAACCACGTCTCCGTTATTTAAGCCGAGCGTGCAGAAGTGCACAGCCCCAGACCACCTGCAGTTGGAGGGCAGCCCATCGTGAAGCCCCGTCGGACTGACGGGTCCCCGAACAACGGAGGACAGCAAGGATGCTGCACGCATGCTGAAAGGACAAAACCATGCTAAACGCATCACGAGTGAGAGATTTTTTTAAAAAAGATATCAAGTATTTAGGAATGCAGACCCAAGCCCAGGATTTACCTCATCTCTGCAAGATCCAGACCGCGTCTCGGAGTGCAGGACAGGGTTTGCCCTCTGCCACCTCGCAAGCCGAAGCAGCCACCCCCTGCGCTGCAGGCACTTGCACTCCTTGCTGTACAAGCCCAGAACCCACCCAGTTCCTTCCCGGGCTTCACTTGGGCTGGCGAAAGAGGATGCTGCAAACCGAATGCTTCATTCGTACACCACACCCGTCACAAGGAAAATTAACCTTTTCGCCAGCATCGCACGTAACCATGGTGATGCGAGCACGTTGCAGGTTTTAGGGAGGCCGGTGTGCTCGGAAGGCTCTGGCACTCCACAGCCCGCCGCCCGAGCGCAGCGCTCCCCGGCCGCTGCCCAGCTTCTCTTCCGCAGGCAACAGGACACGAAACCAGCGCCCGCCGGGTGGCTTTTCGTGTACATCAGTGATCCTGCTAACCCGAAAGAGGCTTGCAGCTAGGTGGGCAGATTTACTTGGTACAGCTTGAAAGGGACTCAGCTGAAGCACATAGAAAAATTGGATTTTCACGGGAAAAGGAGGACGAGCAGGAAACTCAAGTTTGTGTCTGAAATCGCATCTCAAATTCTACAAAAGTACTCTGTAGCTGTGGCAGAAAAGGAATTGTTTTTGTAAGACAGAATAAGGTTTTGGAAAAGTTTCAAATAGAAATACTTGAAAAATGAATATTTAAAAAATCACAAGGGGGGGGAGACAGAACGAGTTGCCCAGGGAACGGAAAGCTCCTCAAGCCTCTTTAGCTGCGACGCTCGTTTCTGTGAGCACCCAGACCAGAAAGCAAGCTCGCTTTTCCATTCCTACTCCAGCCACATTGCTAGAAGGAAGGGGGAAGATTCCAGAGGGGTTTAACTTTGGCATGTCACCCAATGGCACTGGGTGCCTATCTCTATCATATATAAAAGCTGTGATAATATATGCAAAAAAAAAAAAGTAAGAATAACAAATCAATGATACTTACTCCCGTACTGACAAGAGACAGCATAATTCTTTCATTTAAGGCTAACGTTTCTCCTTGCTTCATCTTGATTCTCTTCTTATCTAAACATTTCATTGCATACCTGAAAATATCAACCATTCAGAAAAAGCAGCAGCAAACATTTCTTCCTATATCAGCGGCATTCACTAGCGGTTATGCCACGTGCATTTACAGTATCCTGTAAGCAAGCTCCTGAAAGATTTAAATCTGGTACTAAAGGCATCGTTACATGACTAAACAAGAAAACCTCCAAAATCTCAGAGAATTAAAGCATTTTTCAACAGGAGCCTCCTAACGGAGGAACGTGCTTTAACAAATTATTTCGTGTCCAAACCACCCCAGTGACCCAGGAATTACATACCATACGTCGAATTTTCAGTACCTACAAGCAAGGATCTGCAGTATGAATTAAAGAACAGAGACCCCACCACGGTTCCATTCCGTTCTAACAGCTTCAACTCCAGCAGGAAAGTAATATATTGAGCACACGCTGAGTTTTGTATGGCTTTAAGTTTTTAAGAAAGGTCAGGCATACACTAGAAAGCTTTTTTAATCTTCTACCATCTGTATTACACAAATTAATAATGTTTTGCTCAAAAAAAGAATGTTACCCTAACAACCATCGAAGGAGAGCAGGATATAACACAGTCTGGGGATATTTTTTCGAGACGTTAGGTGAGCCTACTACTAGAGAACAGCCGAGAAGGACACGTGTGCTCCTCCACGCAAGGTTCCAGACGTGGGCAGCCGTGGATTTTTGGGCCATTCGTTTTAAAACATGCTGAGGAAAACACCACGTTACAGCCCTGCACCGATGCTGATCGACCACCTACGCTGTGACAGCTCCGTACAGAAACGGGGCCTCGTATCACCTTCGCTTTGCACTCCCGAAAAGAGCCACGTCATTCCTCGCCATGCATGTGTTGCGAGTGGGGGAAGAGCGAGCGTGAACATGCTGGAATTTTAAGTTTCCAAACCAAGGAATACATTCGCAGCACGTGCTCTTGCTGAGAAGTCTGCACACGGGGACTAGAAATAACATTTCCACGCGCTACCCCTTATTACTGCTTGGACATCGCTGATCAGAGGGAACGACGGGGGCCGCTTACGGCTGATCCAAATCAAGTCGCTCATTCTTGGGGCGAGTTAAGGTGCTCGGAAAGCACTGCTACCCTCCCCCTTCGGGCTGCTTTCTGCATCCTACTTCTGGCCCCTACTGAGATGCCCTTGAAGGAGGTGATGCGGAAGAAGCCTCGGGTGTATCTTTGTGGGTTAGTGAAACACCGATGGCATTTACCTTAGAGGGGCGGCTTCCCAAGCTCCTTGCAGGCAGTAAGTGCAGCAGAGGCAGCCATCTAGAGTGGACGGGATCTGGATTAGGGATGGGTAAACAGGTTTGGATTAAGAAAGAACTAAACCAAACCTCTACCCAGAAACTGAGCCTAACCTAAAGTTTTGCTTCCAATTTGAAAAAGGTCGGTTCTCCCACATTTCACTTCTCTTTACTCTATCAGAGGAAAACTGACCTTCGCTTCCCTCGCTAGTCCCATGGTTTATCCACCTCCTGCCAGAGCAAAACTCAAGACATGAAAATGAGGGGGAATCTGAGCACTACCTCTCCAGGGCAGACACCTGCTCGGTGTGGCTCAAGCTAAATAAAATGTTTATTTTTGTGCATGGACAAATTAATGAATTGTACGTGGACAAAAAGGTACCAAAGCAAGAATCAAGGCAGTACTGTTAGTAACAGTATTAACATAAATACTTGAGGTCACTGCAAAAATACCGAGCACGACAGCAACATTAAGGGGCCTTCCACTTGTTAAGAGCTCGAAGGTTTATTGTTATCGAGGACGCCGAGTGCACACAAGTGCCAGCGAAGCCAGTGGCCGTGGCAGAGACTTGGCACTTCAGACATGCCATGCTTGCTTAGAAGAGAAATGTGTAAGGATGGTCCCTGGACTGAAGTTGTTAGGAGAAAAGCAAGATGAGAGGGGGTGGAGGGGGGTGGGGGTGGTGTAAATAAATAAATAAGTAGCTATCGAGAACGATTTTTTGCATCAATGCCCAGATGTTCCAAAACAGGACATAACGGGACAGCTATGCCTCGAGATTGAAATCTGTGGATTAGGAGAAGCGTGTGAATGGTAAGACCAGAAAAAGAAAACAAAATCCACACGGGTTGGTCTTGGAGTTCCCACCAAGAGCTCTGTTAAATGGAATTTCAACGCTGGAACTGTATTCTTCCAAACGTAAGCAAGGATCACTGCTTTTGCCAGCGAAACGTGCTCATCGGGGCAGAAACGTATGCAGTTACCCAGCTCTGGAACAGCGTATTCAGAACCTGCCCAGGCACGACCCCCGGGGCTGAACGGCCCTGAGGTCGCGTTCCTGCGTCATCCTCCAAGCCTCTGTCAGCACCGGCTACGTCGCGCGCTGCGCTGCGAGAAGAGCGGCCTCCATCAGAGGGGAGGTAACACCTCACACCGCCACCACGGCCTCCGCCAGAGCACCGTGCCGCACCGGCGGACTCCGAGCCAGGGAAGCATTTAAGCACACGCTTGATTTTAAACACATGTGCCGCCTCCCTTCATTTTGAGAAGACCATTTAAACGAAGGATGCGCTTAAGAGCTCTGCTAGGCTGAAGCCCCACCGCACGGCACCTAACGGGATCAAATAGCAAACTGAGCTTAAAGATGATCCAGAAATCAGAACCTCTTGGGATAAAAATTAATTACAAAGAACTATACAGCAATGCGACGCTGCTTTCCAGTGATTTTGTAAGCAACGACTGGAAGGATTTCCTTACGAGTTCAGGGTTTATAATTACCTCTAAAATGAAGTGTGTATATACTCACATTTTTCCAGTGTCTGCTTTTCTGCAACCGTACACTTCACCAAATCCCCCTCTTCCTATTATTCTATGTACACTAAAGTCATTCATGGTCAGCTGTAAATGCAAACAAAAACAAAACAAAACCAGGCTTCATTTTTCAGTCCCAAAAAACTTCCTGTAAAAACATCTGAATAATCTATTAGCGTGTTAAGACGCTTAACTATTGTAACCCATAGAGCATTTTACGTTTTGGGAAAAGGAGCCCCTTATTGTTGTTATGTCAAGGCACTTGCAAGCACTCCAGCCCGAAGCACAAGCGAGACGATGGGACTGTCGGTGGCCAAGGCCGACAGCCCCGTCCGCGCTGCCGCCTGCGGAAAGGGAGGCCGGATTCACAGACAAAGTGGTGAAAGAGCAGTGCAGAGGGACAAAAGGTTGGGGTGCTGGGGAGAGCGTTGGAACCGGCGTGGGAAAGGGAGACAGAGGGGGCCGGGGCTGTTAAAGAGCAGCAGTGCTGGCAGGTCAGCCCCTTTCAGCTATTATAAAAACCAACAAGCTGTTATCTCAGGACAGGCAGAAGGGACGTGCAGAAAGGCATCGTTAGGGCTGTACATCTAACAGGAGAGCGGCTCAGTAACATCCCCCGTGCCCTTACTAAGGCCTTTGCAGAAGGCAGCAGTCAGAACTGAACATTTTCTTTCCCGGATCGGCCTTTGACAAGATCAATGTACCCGTAAGTACTTACGTGAATATTTAGTTCTACGTTTTTCCATTGGCAAAATCTAGTAAACTTGTCACTGCAGAGAAAAAAAAGTTTAAAAGTAGTCAGAGACGACTGGGTGAAGTACTACAGAGAGTGTCACGACTCTGGTATTTAAAATGAAGTTTGCGCTAGGGTGTGTTGTGCTATGTAGCAAATGACAGCCTTCCTTCCAACAGCCCAAACCTCACCCCCCGAGAAAAACAGCTCCTAGGCACTGCACACTTAATATTTGACATCCTTGTAAGAGATTGATGTCAGATAACCTTATCCCTGTCATTGTGAGTGCTCGCCGTGTCCTCACATCTCTCTCGCAGACAGCTTTTCATTTCTAAAAAGAACTAAGTTCGGACCTAACAAACTAACAAAAAACTGCATAAAAAAGAAGGTCAGCTGTAAGAAAAGAGAGGCAGCTCGGGTTATGTTAACAAAGCTCCGTATACCCCAAGGAACATTTTAAGCTCATTTTATCTGAAAATAGGCAAAACATCAACAATACCACAAGCTCCTGCCAGAAAAAAAGAAATAAAACCCCCCAAAACCCCCCCCCCCCCGTGTCTCATTTCGACAGAAATCATTAGTATTTCCTTTCAGAGTGAGAAATAATGGTTCCATGGAGGCAGTTTTGCACTTCTTTCAGTGCCAGCAGCACACCGCCGTACGGTTTGGTGCGGTGGATCTGGCTGCGGCTGGGGGCGCAGCGCCTGCGGGCAGGAGCAGCTCCAGCTCCGCGCCGTCAGGAGGGCTGCTCAGCTGAAGCAGGGCTATGCCTGGCATCCTTTGTTGGACCTGTTCTGCTGAATTCCAAGGTGTCCCAATACAAACCAGAACACCTGGGTCTTTGAGTCACCCACGGGAGATGGTTACTTGTCATCCCACAAGAGCACAGCTCTGCATTTTTAAACCCTTAGGATCAAACTGCAATCCGGTATTCCTGCTCCATGGAGCCACAGAAAAACCTATCACCTTTACAGTTCTTCCCCGCGTGCATCTTGGCATTAATCACGATATATGGCAAAGCAAGTCATCTGCAGAAGCTTGCTGATAATACACTATTAATTAAATAAAGCTTATTAAACATTTTCAGCCTTATTTTACAGCGATACTTAAGGGACCTGGCTTCCCGCTGTGTTAGGTAGAAAGTCCAGGTAATGCGTCGCGTTCGTACCTTTCCATAAATTTTTGAAATATTTTGCCTCGGAGACTATCACAAATTTCTTCTATATATGGCTAAAAAGGGTTAAGAAACACAATTAGCATTGAACGTACGACAAGCAGATCACGCAACACCCCCCACTCCTTCTAACTCACGCTGGCCCTCTGTAACTGCAGCATTTACTGCGCTCTCCTCGAAGAAGGCTCAGCCAAGCCTTCAAGCTTCCTTTAGTTCTTGGAACCTGCGCGGGTGCCCTGAAGCCAAACGCTCAATGTTTTCATGAGCTAGAAAACCTTAAACGCTTGCCTGGGGGGGGGTGGGTTTGTAGGGAACCTGTGTAAAGCACCTGCCTCCGGACAACCGGTTTGGCAAAACGATCTCAGGACGGTTCCTTCATCCAAATAAAGGCAATACGGGGTCATTGCTGCGGAGCACGGCTTCCCCGAGCCGCTGCCACGCTCCGCCTTCCCGGCACTTCTCTCCTCTCCGGCCGTGCCAAGCAAGCAGCACCTTCAATGCCCGAGTGACTTTTTCCTGGAGAAATACTTTCTCCTGATGTGCGATGGGCGCAGCGATGTCGAGTCCCAGCCCGGTTAGGGGTGAGAGACGACTCGAGCGACGTAGTTATCGATTTGTCGGTTCACCTCATCGCGCCGCTAAGAACAGTTCACTGGGCAGCAAGGCATGCCGGGCAAGGGCAACTTTCCCATTTTTGCAATATATAAAAATACATAAGATTTACATCAAAGACATTTAAGCTTATGAACACTCCCATGACTGACGAGGTTCATCGTGTGCAAGCCCACACCGCTCTGATGCGCCTCGCTATAGAAGTTAGCCTAAATCTGAATTTCTCACCTTGTGCCAACGTGTATTAGAGCTGTAACAAGAAATATTTCACATCTCATCCATTTTCTAAAGCAAATTAAAAATATAGAAGATGTGTAATTTCGCAGATGAGCCAGGATACCATTTATATTTACATTCAATTATACCATTCATATTTATATGGGGGTTGGACTAGATGACCTCTAGGGGTCCCTTCCAACCCAAAACATTCTATGATTCAAATGCAGGATAGGCAAATCCCACACTTTCTTTTGACAACTCAGAATTTGGGAGAGTTTTGATTTGAATGGTAACTTCTGTCTAGAAAGGTAATTTTTGATTGGATTTTGTCCTGTGGAGAGACAGGGAAACGTGCGAAATGGTACGCACGCTTAATTCCTCACCGACATCAACCAGGAATTCATATACCTTAAAATTAAAGAAAAAGGACAAGTGCTTTCCAAGGCCTCACATGACAAACACTACACAGTCTGGTTTGTCCTGGTAGGACGCGTGCCTTCCTGCTGTACGGGGATTTACTCTAAATCATTTAATGGCTTAAAATGACATAGACTTAGAAACCACTCCGTTCATACGCCGAGGTGTAGTCTGCCTTTGTAAACATGCTTAAAAATATTTTAGGTAAGAGTAGTAATTTGTAATTTTTATTTGACTGAGAAAAGCACTCTACTATCACCAGTTCAGCAAGGAATATTTACCAGCAGCGTTTTATTCTGTCTCCTTAAACAAGAAGTACAAAGTCACTCACTGTCAAACACGCGAAGCAAACTACAACGAGGGTGGTGAAACCCTGGCAGGGGTTGCCCAGAGAGGGGGTGGAGGCCCCATCCCTGGGAACATTCCAGGCCAGGTTGGCCGGGGCTGTGAGCAACCTGATGTGGTTCAAGGTGTCCCTGCTCCTGCAGGGGGGTTGGGCTGGGTGACCTCTGGGGGTCCCTTCCCACCCAAAGCATTCTATGATTCTATAACTGGAACGTTCCAATGGTCTTAACCTCACCTGAAAAAGGCTGGCTGGCACTTGCTTCTTGGCTAGATGTGTTTGGACGTGATCCACAGCTTGTTTTGAGAAAGGCTTTTGTAAAAAGAGAAAGAAATAGTTGACAGTTAGGAATGGACGAAGTTTCATTTCAGGTCTGCAGCACCGTCGTTCCCTGAACGGTACAAAAACCGCCCGCACCTCAGCAAGAGCGCGACACAGCGTCCTCCGAGCGCGCTACTGTGAAGCGTGCCTAAGGACGCAGTAAAACCGTTATGCCAAAGCAGGAAGGCAGGAGAGGGGGAGAGGAGGAGGAGGGTGAAGATCAGAAGGGCTAGATGGTGCTCCTTGAACAAATCCATGAGCAATCCCGTACACAGGGCCAGCTCCAGCCCCAGCAGCTGGCGCAGACTTTGCACCACTGCAGAGCCAGCGACACACGCCTAACGAAAACCTGCTGAGACCCCTCAACCAAAGAAACCACACCACTCAGGTCCGACACGCGGCCAATTTTTCTTTCAAATAAGAGCAAATGGAACTGTTAACACAGAGTGATGGGTCAAAACTTCAGCGGGAGGACGTGTGTGCTTTCAGTGACTTTAGCAACGCTGCATCTGCCTCAACACGGCCCCAGACTTTCCCTTACCATGCAGGAGAGACCGCCTTACGACCAACAAAATAATAATAATAATAATAATAATAATAATAATAAAATCTCTGTGTGATCCGTTTTAGAGAAAAACCTCAAACCTTACTCTGAGCTTTCAGGGATACCAATGTTCACCATCCAAACCGTCCCGCAAAGCCCCTGACAGCTCCCATTTCTTTTGAGTTTTTGGGGGCAGGGTTGTTGCTGGGTTGGAGGGGTTGGTTAACGTGTATGCGTGCATGTATATATACACGTACAGCCTGCCCCCGTCGTATTTTAAAAGAGTGATTTAGCGTAAAGAAATAGAAAACAGCTAAATCTCCAAATACTGTGTTTGTGCACTGAGTTTAATACAAATTGGCATGCACCACCAATCTTTATACCTCATTGCTTAAAATAAAATAAAATAAAATAAGGCACTCTGAATTCAGCCAAACCCAGTCCCGCAGACTTCAAACTGACATCCCCAATACTACAAATATCTGTAGCAACGGTTCCTTCAGCAATGGTCTTGACTGTTCTCCGCATGAAGCAGCAATCATTTGGAATTATCGCTGCTCTCGGGCTACTCCAGTAAGGCCAAGAGGGGTGTGAAGGCCGGGTGATACCCACGTGCGAACAGGACAGGAGCTCCTTCATTATGTACATGTCGTAAATCTGCCGACTTCGGGTCAGACGCTCGTCCTCAGAGTTCAGCTTCTCGTATTCTTTTATCTGCAAGAGAGGAGAGAAGGATCCATCAGATGAGCACATTTCGAATGATTCTTCACTCATCTGGTAAAAACAAGACTTTGGCTGAAGTTTTATTTTACTTTATTCTTTTCTTAATTAAGACAAAGAAAAACCACCTGCAACACCGGAGTTACAGCTGGCCTCAGATTGCCCTCATCTTAGAATTTTTATGCAACTTTTGCTTAAAATCGCTACAAAGCTTCAATTTCTAAAATTCGGAAAGAGCCGAGCTGAAGCAGCATCTCTCCCATGAATCTGCGCGGGGGAAGCCAGAAGCAAACGGCGCGAGAGGACCGGACCGTGCAAGGAACGCGGGCGAGCAAACGCGCACGGCGACGTTCCCGAAGGCTTTTCCTCCCCTCCGCTCAGCTCTCCGACGGACAGCACCAACCTCGCTCCTCCAACACTCAAGAGCTTGACCCCTTCCTCGGATTATTTCACTGGAAACGTGCCCTTTTCCAAGGTATTACAGGGGCAGCACAACCATCGCCAGCCCCGGCTGCCAGCGCGGCGCCCGAGCTCTGCCCCAGGGCGACGGCAGCACGCTAAGTGCAGGCGTCCAAGAGGGAAGAGGAAGCACATTTCCAAACGTTCATGTAGTTCAGCTACGAGTTGAATTCGACTCCTGAAGGTGGCTAGAAAGACAGTTTCGCAAAACAGATGACGATTCTTCAGGTGTGATACAGGGGGTCAGTGTGTTCCAGAATTTACAGAACAAAACCAGAAAATCAGTTCCAGAAGAAAAAAACCTCACCAACTCCAAGGGTCCTTTGGAAGGTATTTAGGCAAAGAGTTCTTCCAGGACTGACAGAATGCAAAACCCATACAAGCTCTTTGGGGAAAAGCCTGAGCTCTGAGCTGCTGGACCCTCCCAGCACCAGCCTGTGAGGTCCCGGGGTCCAAACAAGCGTAGGTGCGCAGCCTCGCTCCGCGTCCCTACACCGACTCAAGAAACCCAAAGCAGAGTAAGACCCAGCTGGATTTGATTCAGCATCTCTCGGGGAAGGAACCGGCTGTGTCAGAGCTGTCTGTGCTCTCAGCCCAGGGGACAAACCCCGCGCTGGCCGTGTACCGGGCAGGAGTGCCCCGGGGACAGCCAGCGCCGCGCCACCCGCCGGCCACGCTTTAACCGTGGGAGCAGCACCAGGGTTAACACAAAGCACGTTGCTGAGGACTTTTAAAAGTAAAGATCTTAAAAACACATCTTCTGTCTCTATTTCACAATACAATTGCTCCCCCCCCCCCCCCATTTGGAAGCTGCTCCTTTTACAGGATGAGCTGCACTTGTCGGCTCTCAAACAGTCTCCACGTGACCGACCCAGGCCAATCTATCTTTGAAGGTGGAACACCGTAATTAAACTCGGGTCTTTTTCTAGCTATAATCCTCTTGTTTGCCGACTACGATAAGGCAACAGTTCCACCACCATTTGCCATCTGTGACTACTTCCCCCTTGGTAGCAATTTATAATTAAAATGATGCAAAACATCTTTGCCAAAGAAACGTTTTTTAATTAACGCAATGCCGCAAAATAATTAGAAGCACAGGAGAAAGCCTGATGCATGTCATATGGTCTTACTTGAATGCAAGCCCCTGCCCTCCAATGTTGATTTTTTTAACCCCCCCGGCTCCGCACCCGAAGCAGGGGGCTCTCCGGCAGCCCCCCAGCCCTGCTGGCAGTGGGGTCAGCGCCTCTCTCCCCCCCTGCCCTTATCCCAGGGGGATTTTTATCCATTCAAAGCGCCTCGGTTTGTAAAGGTTTGGAGGAAAGGGCCGTGGGGGCGGCTCAGCCTGCTCCCCCCGCGCACGCTGCCCGACGCCTCCCATCACACCGGCGCTGCCATGAGAGCCCTCTACTGCCATCACGGCGTGCCCGACGCATTCCCAAGCTCACATCACGTGTTCATTCCATCAACCATTACTGTACCTTGCCAAAAGCCCCCGGCGACAGGCAGAGCCGGGGGTGTCACCGTTTTATCGGCGTAACCCGCCCCTGCCAGCGGCAGCTTCCTCGGCGTCGCTCCTGACCCGGGGGTAACGTACCGTGCCGTCACCCACTCCAACGTTTCCCTGGCAAACTTCAGCTCGCCTCGAGAAAAGCGTCTGGCAAAGTATCTCCAGAAGCTGCCATCAGAACGCATTCGTTTTCAAGCACCTAGAGGTTCTTTTTCTTTTTCTTTTCCCTTTTTCGAAACCGATCTGGATGAATCACTCATCCCGTTAAATGCTCGATCGTGACTTAGGCTGCAGTAATATGAAATCCCTGGAGTACGGAGCCCTTCTACATCAAGCGATTTTTAATGTGGCGATGTGCTCAAATTATTCTACACGTAATAGATGCAGTAAGTAAATCAAATATATTAAAAAAAAAAAAAAGAGAAAAGCTTCTGAACCTGGGATGTCACAGAAGAAAACACAATGAACCTCTCTTTAAGTGTCTTTAATGGGATTTTTCGAGAAGTACATGACAAAGCATTTAAATCCTTTTCAGGCAACACTTCGCTAATAACCTAAAAATACAATTTCAAATTGTTTCAGAGATAAAAGAGGCAGCTAAAAATATCTCGCTAAACAATCTGTTACAACCTGCCTTCTTGATTACTTATGACAGTGCTATCTCCAGTACATAAAAAAGATGAAAACCCTAAAAAAAAAAAAAAATAAAATAAAAAAGATTCGTTATTGACAGCGCGTACCTACTTCGCGTGGGGGAACCGCACCTTGCTAAGGATTTAGCTCCGGACCGATAATGAGCCTATTTTGTGCTGTGAGCCCACTAGCAAGAAAAATTTTAAACCGTCAGCTTAGGAGTAATCCAGGTTATCCCAGGCAGCGCTCCCGATTAACACGGAGCAACGCGGGCTGCCGTGTAAAAGCGCGTGTGCGTGCCTTAACTGGAACCAGCACCGACGGTAGGATCAGCTCCGGGTTTATATTTAGACCATCACAAATATAGCGAGGAGTGAAGGGAGGGGTAAGGCTCCTCAGGTGCCCCGGGCGGGCCCTGCAGAAGGGCTGACAGAGCCCTGGCA